CATCCAACTGTGCCTGATCTACTTCCTACCTGACTAACTGGCCAGCACAAAGTCTCGACTCCTCCTCCTCCTCCTCCTCCTCCTCCTCGTCTTCCCCACTCAAGCGGATAGCCGGTTCACCAAACTCAACAAAAATTAGATACTGATTGTGCTGAACTTGTGGCTGAATCCCACCATGGGCTAGATTCACTTAACAACCAGGTTACTAACTTATCAACTGCAGTGATTCACTTAACAACTGAGGCAAGAAATTATCATAAAATGGGGCAAAACTCACTTAACAAATGTCTCACTTAACAATGGAATGTTTATACCTTGTAAAAGAAATTAAACTAAGTGCTATTATAAATTAGATATTTTTAATCCCACTTTTGTTATTTTTATATATAATTCAAGTCAGCAAACATATCTCATACTCCTTCCTCTTCCTATGAGTTGGTCTGAGAGAGAGTGCCTAGTCCAAAGTCACTGAACTGGCTTTCATGCCTAAGGCAGAACTAGAACTCAGAACCTCCTAGTTTCTAGACCAGCACTTTAACCACTACACTGAACTGACTTTAATATGCCTCTATTTTAAGATTAGGCCTGTGTTATGATGTGCTTCTTGCAAAGGGGTTCCCACTCACCAAAACTAATATTTGCTTGCTGATACCGTCACTTTTTAATTGAAGATGTAAACAGGCATGTTTGCATTCCTCAGGGCATAAGAGCATTTGTGCAAATATCCATTTGAAGTCATGAACCAAGTTGTATTGTGCTAGTTAAGTAACAAAGTAGTTGATCAAGAAAGTGCAGACAAGATGAGCTTCAAGTCCTGGCCGAGTACAGATGTTTTCTCCATCCTTAGGATAAAGGACATTCCCCACAGACGCCACTCCTGCTACCCACAGAATGTCTGCCAGTTTCTCAGAGCTGAAGGGAAAGGCTGGAATTTAGCATAGTCCCTCTGCTTTGCAAGGAGAAGATCTCAAGAGGGACTCGGTCTTAAATCCTGGGAAATTCCTGGTACCAAACTGGATCAGCTCATGGTTACACTAGGCTGCCTCCCAGTTTAAAATATGGGACGCTTTCCTTAAAAAAGGCGTACTTGTAATCTTTCTGCAAAGTTGATGTTAACAAAGAAAATCCAATATAATCTTCAGATTTTTGTACTATATATCTGTTATAAAACATGACATTAAGTAATAAAGATATCCACCCCAAAATGGACAGATGTAGAATATACACATGCAAATTACACTCATTTCCTACAGTGTAATTTTGTTCAATCTGTTAGTAATGCTTCTGGTGCCAGATTTAAACTGAAATTTATTTTACTTGTGACCTATGATTAACTGCCCTTTTCTTTAGATGTTGCCAGATGATTGTGAAGTGCAATCTAAGAAACTTACAGTACATTGATTGATGGATTTTGTTTTATTTTAAAAAGTTATTTTTAAACTTTTTGTCCTGCCTGTATTGTACTTATACTATATTCTTCCAAAGGGAATGCTAATCTAACGCTAAACTAGTGTGAAATACTGAAAATTTAGCATAGTTTTCCGTATAATTACAGTTTCCAGCAGGAAATCTGGAATGCTCATGTAATGCATGCCAAATTGGCAATGGAGGAGATGCAGTTTAGCCAAATGCAAGCTGAAGGCAACACTGTACTTAATGTGTATCAAATGAATCTAAATTAGTCTGGGAAAAGGCAGCACCAATCTTAATGCAAACTGAATGAAGAAGCTAGACAAATATCAATTGGAAGCAAAACAAATTAATGTAGAAGTAAAGGATGAATTTGCATAGCTTAGCTAGGAGTAGTAGCACAGAAGGCTATGCAGCCAAACACAGTGAACTGGTAAATAGATGTATAGGCTTCTATTTTCAGGCAGTGATTACCCTATGTTCATACACAGCATCTTATTATAAGAATAGAATGGAACGGAATGGAATGGAATAGAGGTGTCAGACTTGATCGTGTCACGTGACGTATTGACATATTGCAACATTTTTTGACTTTGCGGAGCCAGGGTGGGCATGGCCTGTGCATAATGCATGCTGCTTGTGGGCCACCAGTTTGACAGGCCTGGAATAGAGTAACAGAGTTGGAAGGGACCTTGGAGGTCTTCTAGTCCAACCACCACAAAGGCAGGAAACCCTATACTATTTCAGACAAATGGTTGTCCAATCTCTTCTTAAAAACTTCCAATATTGGAGCATTCACAACTCCTGGAGGCAAGTTGTTCCACTGATTAATTGTTCTAACTGCTAGGAAATTTCTCCTTGGTTCTAGGTTGCTTCTCTCCTTGATTAGTTTCCATCCATGGCTTCTTGTCCTGCCCTCAGGTGCTTTGGAGAATAGCTTGACTCCATCTTCTTTGTGGCAATCCCTGAGATATCGTAATACTGCTATCATGTCACCCCTAATCTTCTTTTCATTAAACTAGACATAACCAATTCCAGCAACCGTTCTTTATATGTTTTTCATACATGGTACCTTATTTCTGGTTTGTTTCCTCTTTTACCCATGAGTTGGTGATGCTGTTTGTGAAATTCATTCATGTTTTTCTCACCCAACTTTTCCCCAAAAGCAGCATAGTGTTCCCATTTCCAATGTTTCTTCAGAACTACGAAAAGCAGGTTGGGTTGAGAAATGTAGATAGTCCTCAACTTACAACTGAGCCCAGAATTTCTGTTGCTAAGTGACACATTTGCTAAGTGAATTTTGCCCCATTTTACGACCTTTCTTGCCACAATTGTTAAGTGCAGTTGTTAAGTTGGCAACACGATTGTTAAGTGAATCTGACATCCCCATTGACTTTGCTCGTTAGAAGGTCACAAAAGGGGATCAGATGACCCTGATGCCACTGCATCCAAATTTTTTATTTCATGACCACTGGGATACTGCAATGGTTGTAAGTGTGAAAAACGGTCAGAGCTCACTTTTTTCAGTGAATGGTCACTAAATGAACTGTTGTAAGTCGAGAACTACCTGGAGTAACTGGCTAAAAGCCATGCAGTGAATTTCCATGACTGGACTAAACTCTTCCCAGATCTAGTCCACTCCTTAAGCATACTTGTCAATATATCAGGTAAGGAACAGAAACAGAAACAGCAGCATGCCACGTAGAGTGCACCACCAGAAACAATTATTTATTTCTGCTTATTCATCTTCCCCATTGGGCATTCTTCCAAACCTTAAAGGGGGAGATCAAAAAAAGTAACACACATGAAACTGAAGTAGACTTTTCTATTTCAGTCAATAGAAACATAAAATTATACTTACAGTAAGTCCTTGACTTACAATCCCAACTGAGACTGGAAAGCTTATCATTAAGTGGTACAGTTTTTAAGTGAGGCATCATATCACTGCATCCAATTTCACAACCTTTTTTTAACACAGCTGTTAAGCAAACCACCCATGTTGTTAAGCAAGCCCTCAAGTGACTGTGACTTGTAACCAAACTCCTGCCAGTTTCCTCATTGACTTTGCTTGTCGGAAGCTGTCTGGGAAGGTTGCAAATGGCACTCGCGTGACTGCAGGGCGCTGCAATTGTCATAAGTGTGAGCCAGTTGCCAAATGCTCAGATTACAATCACATGATCACAGGGATGCTGGAATGATTCCAAGTGTTAGAACTGGACATATGTCACGTTTTCAGTGTCACTGTAACTTCAAATGGTCACTAAATGAATGGTCATTAGGCAAGGTATTGAGTAATGATAGCTAGCTATCTTTCAATGTCATTTGCTGCACAAGGAAAATTATTCTGTAGCAAGGGGAAAAAAACTGAAGTTGCAGGTTAACATCCATTTCTTTAAGTCATTGGCTTGGGTTGGACACATTTGGCATGATCTTAAGCTTTTGGGACTTTCTTTTTCTGCCTTATTTTATATCATGAATCCCATCATGAGATAATGAGAAGCCAAAAGTCCACACATTTTAGATAAAGGTATTAGTTTCCTTTTCTAGCTGGTTTTATAATTCTCTCCTCAGGCAAATATGAGGAACTGAATGTCCTTTCAGAATGAGGTTTTTTTTTAAAAAAAAACAGATTTCTCTTTAAGCAAAATCCAACAAAGAGAAAATGCCACTGCTCAGTGTAAGAACAGCCATTGCCTTCAGCACTTAAATCACAGAAGAAAAGACCTAAACTGAAGCAAGAGACTTCTTAAAAAATAAAACTCTGTTCTGTATAAGAGCAACTCTTGCCTTTAGCAATTAAGCAGTCTTTGAATTTGACAAACTGTGTTTTAGAGAAAAGCCCTCAATTTCATTCTTTCTGCAAATACTACTCAAATCCCAGAACACACTGTGCTTTATGGTACTTCATGTCTAAGCAATTTCAAATATGTCTTTGTAAGTGCTAGCCAGAGCAATACACACATTAGTCACCCATACTTTATTCACACAATATGAGCTTTGCAAAATAGTTCAGACAGAAAGCAAAACCAACCTACTTTTACTGTATGATTATAGAATTTTGCAAGTCTGAAAGTACATCTATCCCCTTTTGTCTTTTCAACCCAAGAAACTAGGTAGCTTCAAGCCCTTGGTGTCAGGTGCCAGATTAACTGGATAGTGAATCTCTCCAGTTATTCCTACAATGTAGAAGATTTATGGAAAACTTTTCTAGCTCTTTTGAATGGAGGAATGTAGGGAGACACATGTGAAAAATTGGCTCTTAGGTGGATTTTTCGGGAGCCATTAGCCACAATTAGCCATCCATGCCTTATGATCATCAGACTACCAAACTACGGAGAAAGACCTTTGTTCTGTAGCATTATGAACTTTTCATTGACCAGAGCCTTTTTGAAAGAAGGTACAGCAATAGATGACTTGGGCTGGTCCTTAATACAGTATTCAGTTTGATCCTAAAGATTTGGCATAACAGACTTGCTTAATACTGTATACAGTTCTGACAGTCAGTTTCGTTTTGCATAGAAATTACAATGGCAATTAATTGGAAATAATGTGAATAATAGGATTCTTAACCCATCTTACTAATTTTTCAGATTCGATTGAATAGTCGTGGACTTATTTATTCTGTGGGCTTGTTGCTGGCCTCAGTCTTTGTCACAGTAAGTATATCATTTTTTTTTAAAAGCAGTTGTAGGCATATTGGCCATGGGGGCGGGGACGATCTAAACTCCACAGAGGCAATACCAGTGACTGATCTATATCAGTACCAGTTCACATGTTTAGATGGAAAGCAAAGGAGCATTCAGACCGGCAAATTGGATTTTATCAGATTGTACCAAGGTTGAACCTGAACAGTTTCTTAAGTCATTATGGTTGAGAAACATAATATGCAATACAATAAATTTGTTGGATTGTTCTCTTTGTCAAGAAACTTAGGCCACATTGTTGCTCTTGGAAGAGAAATTGCTACTAATTTATAAGAGGGATTAATGGAGAGAAGATTATTCACATTGGTTCATAGACATGGAAGAGCCAGCTCTAGATTTATGTAGAATAATGGCCTTCTTTCTATTTCTAGGTGTTTGGAGTTCATTTGAACAAGTGGAAGTTAGATAAGAAGCTGGGGTTTGTGTGCCTTTCCCTCTATGGAATCTTCTTGTGTTTCTCCATCATGACAGAATTTAATGTCTTCACGTTTGTAAATTTGCCTATGTGCAGAGATCATTGATCCTATGGACAGTCTGTTGAGAGGCAACTTCCTTCTGTACCAGTGCAATATGAAAATGGTTGGCATTTCCAAGCAGTATGAGGCCCCCTATGAAGGCTGTGAAGTTCAGTGGGCCCTCTTCTTGTCTTGGCTTAGTCTCTTTCTAAGCCATCTTTTCACACATACAAACGCTCACCTGGAAACCACCTATACTGATGTGAAGATTTACAAATTCAGAGAGTCTGATGGGCAAACTAACTTTTAGCTGGCTCTGAGCCAGAGAAACTGAACTATTACAGTTTTTTTAAGTTATTTGATGGAAGACTAATTTATGAATCAAGACTATAGCTAAGATACAAAGAAGAGGGTACATTGCATTGACTGCTTTTGGAGAAAAATGAAAGGAATTTATTTTATTCTTCTTTCCTAAGAAAGTTTCCTTGCAGCTTATCTACTTTGCAGAATACTACATCTCATTGGATGATTCTGATGTCATAAACAGCACTGTGAGAGCTGAATTCCAGGTACTTATTAACAAGAATGGACCTGTACTTTTCAATGACTTCCTTATGGGAAGTAATGTACCCCAGGAAGAGATTTGGGAGGAATCCTAACTGAATTCAGACTGTAGAGTTGAACCTTGCTGCCATTTTATTCTTAACAGCAGAATGTGATCACTAGGTTGTTTAGAATATTTCCAAGCAATAGTTTTAGGCCTATCGGCCCCAGCAGACTCACGAGATGGAGTCCTGGTTTTTAACTTGATTATTGCCAAGAAAACTACATGGATGTATCCATGAAGTCATCATGAGCCAAATGTGACTCAAAGGAGAATTAACACTTTTTTCCCCTTTTAATTTAAAATACAATGCCTGGACTAATCTGTTATAGGTTCTCGGTGTTTATTGAGACTATTTCTTTAGCACTTTTAGGTTGAAAAGTACTTTATGACCCTCCCTTTCCTCTTTATCCTGGCAACTGTTTGTTAAGGTAAGCACTAATAATATTCCTGTGTCTTAAAAAATAGTGCAGTTGAAAAAGTCTGTATTCCTGCACATATCAACTTTCGGACCACATTAAGATTTGAACCAAAATTGTTTTGATACAAAACGAAATTCAGATATTTGGATTATCAGACCATCTATTAATATATGGAGACTGGAGAAGAGGAAATGGATGTAAAGGGACATTATTGGTTGAGAAGGCAATATAAGCACATGGCACATGTTTTAAAATAATTAGTTGAAGACACTGGTTTGTAAAAAGCATATTTTGCACATATATTATTGCTGATGTTATCATTTGCCATTCTGCGAAGGATACACTGGACCTGGGTAGGCATGTTATTGTTTTTCCTTTTGTACCCTCCTGGGTGGTTTGCTTGTGCAAATCCTATTTTAGGAATCTTTGTTGGTGGGTTCTTCCTGCTATTTACCACAAAATTGCATAGCACTTATTTTTACCAGTAGTTTTCTTGAACCTTGGTCAGAGAGGATTAGATTTTGACAAACTGAGAAAGCTATGATAAAGTCCCCATTCAGTGTTCCATTGACTGCTGTCTTTAATGTGATTTGCTCTATTCACTCTGGAAATCCTGAAGACACCTCAGCTTCCATGTAGACCTCATCAATCCCCATTACATTTTCTCTGATAAAAGCAGCATTCCTGACTGCCCCAGTGACATTTAGGCCTGGACTATCCCGTTTTATTTTAATTGCTATGTATGTATATGCTTTGTTTTACTCTGTTTTTATAAGAAGGGATCTTTAGCTAGTCAAACCTATAAGAAAGATTTTATCTATATAACCCACAAAGGTCATTCTTAACAGAAAAACAGAAAGCTGATGCCTGGGTGTAAACACCTCTTTCAATCTACCCATCAATTTATACTTTAGTGCTTCTTTATTTCAAATGAGTTTCTTTTTGAGATCACTAGTATGAAATAAAATGTCGTGATCTGCAGTTTCCCTTCATCATAGCACCTTGCTTTTTTCCTATGACTTCCGTAGTTGAATTTTCCCTCATTTAATGCCATCCACATATGTGGCTAATTTGTGGCCAGCCAGATAGAGTAAATGTATTAATATAAACTTAGTTTGACCAAGAAAAGTTTGCTCTTTTTTGCACCTCTCCCTCGCACATACATATGAGGATAATTTGCCAATTTCTCCCTTGTGCTCATTTTTAGTGTTTTCAATTCTGTCAGACAAATGCAATAAAATTGTCAGAACTCATGTTCTTATACTAACGTCCCAGTGTATTCTGAGGGACTATAACTGCATTCTGAGTTTTCTATCTCTTTTTTAATTAACTACTGAGCATCTAGCATGGCAAGAGCCATTTTGATGCACTGCTGAATGCATAGGACTAGAAGTCTATGGGTGGGTGATGGGTTCTGGTCATTTCTTAGGCACAAAAGCCAGCTGGTGACCTAGGCCTATTCATTTTCTCTCGGCTGTAGGAGAGGATAATGAGAAACCACTTTAAAAATGTCAAGGGAAAAAACTTTGAAAAGGTGTTTTTGTAGAGAAATTATGAGTTTTAATTTAGGGCAATCAATTGTTTCACATAGGAATCTAACAGGTTATTAAGCTTTAATTTCACAATAAACTCTTACAAAGGAATGAAATGCAGAAATAAATAAATAGTGGCAATGACTGTCTTTTCAGAGATTTTTGTCCACTGTTACAATTTTTTTTCATTAAAGATTGCTTAATATGCTCTTATGAAATCTTTAGGGTTCTTGTAATATATTATTTTTACCATCCACCATGCCTTCTTCATTCTGTTTTTAATTAAATAAATATGGTCACTCAGTATATTGCTTTTGATCAAACCATTTTACCATCTAGAAGTTTTTAAAAAATATTCATTATATCGCTTCCTCTTGGTTGTATAATACACTGTATATAGAAATCCATCCGACATCATCCGTATGACGAGGATGGGTTGCTCCCATTGTCAACACAACACGATTTATTGGTGAGGCTTATACTGCTTCAGTCTTGAACAGCTCTAAATGACCCCTTGCGATTTTCTATAACTCCCCACTCCCTCAAAACACAGAAAAACTGTTTGCAAAACAAAATGGAACAGAATAAATGGAGAGCCTGGAATGTCACATACATAACAATACTTTGGAGATAAAAATACTTTGTGGTATTGAGCAGTGTGGCTGCTAAAAAATCTGGCCAGTGCACATTGACATGTGCATGTTGCTAACATAAAATTATTCATTTTGCATCACTGTCTTTATGGAATGTGAATAACCCCAGTCTAAATTTGTATTATTTGTATTAATGGAACACATGTTCACCTCTGCAACTATCCCTTCAGCTCAACAATAATTACACACTACTTGGAGAACAGAATAACATTTGAAGACAAATATTAAATTGAGAGTTTACCCTGATTCTAGCAACAAGTAAAAAGGCTGGTGGGTATTGCCTATGCTCTCAACTGAGCTGTTCCCAGCCTGGAATATCTGACTAGCCTACCTTCTCTCCATCTCCTCAGTGCCTCTGTTTGCCTCCTACCCCTCAATTGCCATTGCCAAGGCACTGTGTCATCCCAGCACTTTCCCTCTTTTGGTCATCAGTCAGGTCCCAACACTACAAAAGGCCTTGGCTTTCACCCTGATCTTTTCAGTACTTTCCCTTCACTCTCAGCCACATAACACATCCCAACTCCTTTATTTTAAAGTTAAACCATGAAAGAATCTTCCCAAATAAGCCAGGAACAGTTTTATTTCATTTACCAATTCAATTTTTGATTTAGTACAACTTCCCTAAGGAAAAATAAAGTTTGGATTAGTTTCCCTTTAAACCTTTCACCTAAAAGAAGTCAAAACAGCTGTTTTTTTTTCTATGTAAATTTGTTAGCAACCTATAATAAAAACATATTAGCACTAGTACTTCTTTCCCTGGTTTCATTACTGATAATTAGGAACTTAATAAAAATATTAAGGCATTTTTCAGGCATTTTTGTCATGTTGGAGATTATGTCAATTTATTTTATGTGAAAATGTAATATTTTAAAAATATAAAGCAATAAAAAGATGGGACTAGAAAATACTGTTTAAAACGTAGGTTTAATTAGTTCAGACTTTTCCATCATAAAAGTGAAAATGTTACAGTTTTGCAACTAGCAACTCTGTTCCAAGTTAAGTGACATGTTTATTTTTTACATAAAATAAATACAATCATAACATTTTCATTTTAAAATGTGTTTCTTTTTGCTGTAGGTTTAAAGTATATATTGTATGTTGCAAATTGATCTTATCTCATTTCAGGCATTGATGTTTTGCAAGAATAATGTAAACTGCTTTGTTTTGTATAACCGTGATAAAATAATTTCTCCAGAGCACACTGGATTCAATAAAATCTGCCTCCTGGCATCTAAGATGCTATCCCCCTTGATCTGTTTTCCAGTACCTACCCTCTTCTTCCTTTTGTTCAAGGATGTGATAGTTGATGGTATCAAAGGCTGCTGAGATGTGCAAGAAAACTACTAGGATCACACCTCTAGTAGGGATCCCAATCTAGATCTTGCCCCAAAATAATCAATCTCTATCCTATTTTCCAACTGTATTGCAATAGATCCAGATAAATGGAATTCTGGAGTTAACAATAAACTGAAGAAGTGTTCTCTAAGTAAATTAAAATTAAACTATTATGCCAATAAGAATTTAGGAGTGGGAAAGAAATAAAGAATGAGGCCCACAATTCATTGAATCCTATCTGCAGCAATAGTTTAACAGCAGCCCAGAAGTGTCACATCCTGAAGCCAGAGCCTAAGACAATCTTTGTCTTAACCCCAAGGTTCTTGATAACAAGCAGTTTTAAGTGGTTTCCCCCTCTTGGATCTTAATTATATATAACTAAACACCATACTATAATGATTATGACAACTCATATGATGTTTCATATTAATTGATAGATTTAAAAAATCCTATGACCCCCCCCCACCCCCTAACATTAAATAAGGAGAAGGAAAAGATGTAAAGCTTCTCTGCTTGCATTTATATCATTTGTTTCAGTGATCTGGTTGCCCTTAAAAATTAGTAATATCAGGAATTTGGAATATCAGGTTGGGATTACACATTGTAGCCTCATTTCTACAAGATAAGAAATCATTACATCCATTGTACAGGAAGGATGATCTGGATTGGGAATGGAATGGAAAATAGAGCAGAGCAGAGCAGAACAGAACAGAACAGAACAGAGCAGAGCAGAGCAGAGCAGAACAGAACAGAACAAAACAGAAGTTCTGTCTTGGGAAGACTGCTGAATTTGTGTATTATTTTAAAAACAATTTGATTTCTTTAAAAAATAGAGAAAAACCAAAGGGGAAAAAGAAAGAATCCCATAATATTATTAGATTTTCCTCCTTGAAGTCTAGACTTAAAATAGTTAATCCAAAGAACAAGAATTTAACAGTTCTGAATAATAGTATTCATTAAAAAGAAGGTTAATGTTACAATATCAGTATCCCAGGCATATGGAATATGAAAGAACTGTAGGGCAACAAAAATATTGTTGGTTTCTTGCCACCTTTCTGATTAAAAAGATAGAATCTTGACTATAGATGGCACCTCTGTTTTGATCGCTGTCGTTCCTATCAGCATGGTGAAGCCTGATCTGCTCAATTCATTCATATAGATACACCATATATCTCTCCCCGCCCCCCAACCCCAGCCTATTATCAGAAGAGGACTGGGATATTTTATTAGGGGAAAGCTAGTCATGAAAGCATATCATTCTTCTCTCTAAATGCCCCTTATTCTGATTATATTTTAATGAGATAACTAGACAAGCAATAAATATGCTGGCCTGTCATTCTAGTTTGGCCTTAAGCAGGAAGCTTGAACTAGCCTAGATATTTTCCCTACTTTGCACCACATCACAAATTACTTAGGGAAGTCTCTTTTTCAAAAACACTTTGCTACATAATGTAATAACATGGGTAGAAATGCTGTTCTAGGAATAAGTCACAAACCCTGTAGGTCATTGTTTCTCAATGTCAGCAATTATGTGTGAAATGCAACTCCCAGAATTCCCCAATGCTGCCTGTGGAATTCTGGGAGTTGCAGTACATGTATTTTAAAGTTGTTGAGGCTGGCAACTACTGATCTGAGTCATATATCTTTACTATTTTGCCAGGCATAATTTCTGATAAAGACTACAATGAGCAAGCAGGTAATATTTTTCAAATTTGAGAAAGGGAGAAGCAGTAGGGATTCACAATTATGTAAGTGTGAGATAGAAAAAAAGAAACTGAAGATAAAAATAGCAGTCTTGCACACATTCCTACAATATAATAACACAAGAAATAGGCATATATTTTTCATATAAAAGCTGTACACATAAACAGTCTCAGGAATTAAAGCAGAATTAGAGACAATTCCCCAAGGAACTCTTTTTTTCAGTTCATCCTTGACACATGCTAAAAGGAAATATGAACTTTAATATATTCATAAGCTTCCATTTCAGGCAATTCTACAATCATATATCAAAATCATTAAAACTACTTTTCTTTGTCTGAAACATTGTGGGTCTTACCAAATACTTATTTATCAAATAACAGTGTGATATTAAGCAATAATTGTATCTTGTACTTGGCCAGTCAAACTTCCTGTCACAATTACACAGTTCTAACATATAGATTATTTCATAGAAGTGTAGTTAAGGGGGGAAAACGTATTTTTGATGCATAATACATGTAGCAGAAAAAGAAAATAAAATCTTGAGGTGGTGGCAAATTTGAAACCATTTAAGCAGTTGTGTGTTTCAAATTTTTTTACCACCGGTTCAGTGGGCGTGGCTTGGTGGGCATGCTTTGTGTGCACGCACACACTTTGTGCGCGTGCACACCAAATGCGCACTTTGCGCAGGCGCAGAGGCTTTCTGACTCACTTCCTGCTGCAGTCCTGCACTCTCCCTGTCGCTTCAGCAGCTGACGCGTGGCAATCTGCTGTGTCGCGCAAAGCAGCTGCGATCCAAAAGCAGGGAATAAAGGTCAGTATGGGAGCCTGGGTGGGCCCAACAGCAGAGTATTGGAGAGAACCAATTTGGTCTCCGCTGCTCATCAGCGCTACCGGCTCAGCAGAACCGGGCCAAGCCAGTAGAATACTACCACTGCATTTAAGACTGAAGGTATGAGGTGCAATTTTTGAATGTCTTTCAAATTCCAAGTTCTCTCAGAGGAAGCAGAAAAGCCCTATTTCTTCTAGACCATTATATCCCTGTCTATTCTTTTTTGTGATCGTTTTCTTCCTTACTTCCCTGGAAACCTTGGCCCATTTTATCCCTTCACTCTTATTTCATGTCATAGTCTTTTTAGATAAGACCTATGCCTAACAGACTTAGATTTCCCTAATTTGTTTTCTAATATAGATGAATGCAGTCAATAGATATTGGCATCATTTACCAGAACTGTACAGCACTTCAGATTTCATTCTAAAGATATTCTTTGAAGCATATGAACACAGCACAAAGCTGCAACTATTATATTTTATATTTAACTACTTTAAAGGGCATAAGAAGATATTGTGTTCTTGTCCTCATATTTCCATAGCATATAACAGTCCCCATAGCATATCACAGTCCCACATTTACCCATTGGGTTTAATGGTGGTGGACAGTTGATGAACCATCAAGGAAGAGCTAGAGAAAAGCTGGCTGTGATCTATCCCGTAGAAAAATAGAGGTTTAAGGCACCCCAGTGAATAAAAGGTGATGCCTCTTTCTTTCCTCTCCTCTATTCCTGAATATTGTATTCCCTTATTTGTACATATTAAAACTATAATAACTACGGTGTCTTTCCATAGATGCTCTTAAGATTTTGGTACTTTGCTTGCACCCTGTTTTCTTCTATTGACCTTCCTTTGTATCTTCAAATGTATTGTCTCACACTGAAAGTGCATGTTTAGGGTGTAGCTTTAGATTGTACAAAAATATGTAGAACAAATGGAATTAATCTATTTCTGTTATTCTACTAAGAGATCATAGACTGGGTTGCTGATAGAAAAGAATAATTCTGTTCTGTATTTTCATAACACTAAGTTTCCAAAGAAGAAAATGATATTTCCAAAGTGGAGTTTGCACTCAGTATATATAAATTAATCTTGTCTATATAATTTACATCCAGTTTACCATACAAAATGAGGTATGCTATTCCCACCTGTTGAAATAAGTCATAGTACCCCAGCTACTGATAATCCATCTGGATGACTACAGTTTTTATGACTATTTTATGTTCTTGAAAACTGGAGATCCTGTACTGAACAATATTTAAAACAAACCAGTTGTGCGTACAAGTAGTTGGACACATTTTTGTCCTTATTTTTTTAAAATTGAGAAACATAGATTTATATTCAGGTTTGTACCTTCAACTTTGTATTCTCACCCCATGGTAGCTGGCTGCCATTTGAATTAAAAAAAATAGTTTTGGCTGCTATTGAGATAATCATTGCTTGTCAGCAATTGAAAAGCCTAAAAATGGCAATGGCTAGTTTTTAATATTTTTATCAGGCAGTAAACTGGTAATGTATCAGATCTAATTGGGTATAGCTTACCTTTGTAATTTTTATAGTATTTTCTCATTAGTAGAATTACTGAATCTAAACTCTTTCTTTGAATACAGTATAAGAGTTAATTTTTTGTGCTGGTGCTTATACAATTATCCATATATTTATTGTATTTATTTTTCATTGAAAATACAAATTTTGTATCAGGGAAGCAATCTTTATTCCAGAAGGACGTAGAAGCTGAAAATGAAAATTGACTTTTGTGTTTATTCTGTAAGAACAACACTCCAAATGAGCCATCTGATTTTGTGCTTTTCGAACAAAACTTCAATTGAATCAGCTTAAATACGAGCTTAAATCATCTGCTCAGAAGTTCTCCTGCGCAAACATCACTGATATAAATGAACAGTGTGGCAA